GCTCAACGCCACTTAAGGCCTTACCTTGGAGTTACTGTTGAACTTTATGTAAGCAGGCCCCACCACCTCCTTGGCGTACTTGGCTTGCTCGTCCGACTGAGCACAGCACCACTCAGATGGCTATTGAAGCTGCTATTAGCACGCACCTTGGAGTTGCTGTTGAACTTGATGTAGGCAGGCCCCACCACCTCCTTGGCGTGCTTAGCTTGCCATGCCACCAGCAGCCCCCCGCGCTGATCCATGAGAGCCTGCTTGGTGGCATGGCAAGCCAAGTACGCCAAGGACAGTCAGTCGGGAGGTACAGAACGATGGAAAGCGGTTTGAAGGTACTGTTGCTAACTTAATGTAAGCAGGCCCCACCACCTCCTTACGCGTGTTTGGCTTGCCACGCAACCAGCAGCCCCCCGGGCTGATCCATGAGAGCCTGCTTGGTTAAATTTCATGCCAGCAAGTAAGGAGGTACAAAACGGTGGAAAGGGGTTAAGAGGCACTGTTGAACCTCCTTACGCGTGCTTGGCCTGCCATGCCACCAGCAGCCCCCCTGGCTGATCCATGAGAGCCTACTTGGTTCATATCATACAAGTGGCGGTTAAGAGGTACGAAGCGGTGGAAAGGGGTTGGAAGGTCAAGTCAAACGACCAGTTGGTTCCAAAGACTTCTTCAGACTCCATCACCTCCTTGGCGTGCTTGACCTGCCATGCTACCAGCTGCCCCCCGGGCTAATTCAACGTCGCCTGCTTACTTCAAACAATTTGCAGCCAGGATTTACGGAACGACGATGGCAAAAGATAGGGTTGGGACTGGATGTGAGAGTGATGGTGCTGTTAGTTGGCAGGCAGGAAGGGATTTAAGTACGAGGGCGGTGTGGGTGTGGGAGAATGGAACAGAGGGATACATGCAGTGAAGTGAAGTGCATTAGAGAGGCGACTTTTGAGTCGACTCAAAAGTCACCTCGGATTGAAGTACGAGGGTGAGTGTGGTGTGTGGGAGAACGGAACAGAGGGATGCATGCAGTGAAGTGAATTAGAGAGGCACGTTAGGTCAGGGTTCATTCATGCTGTCGTGCGTATGGAAATCCCGATTCACGCCACTGAGAGTTATTTGAGGCGCATCATAAATAGAATCATAAATAGAGTCATAAATAGAGTCATAAATATATATCCCGGACTGCACGATGGCACTCGTAGGGTCACTGTTAGTGCAGCCAAAAGCAAGTACATACTGACCAAGAAACACGAAGCATCCTTTCACACTGCCTTGCCAATGCCAATGAGCAACAATGTGCCAACGCATGCGCATACTTGCACATCCTGGCTCAGATACAGGGTAACATGGTTACCATCACTCATAGGGTCAGTCAGGTCAGCCAAGGGTGACCAGGTACGGGCTGAGATAGGCGAAGCTTAACAGGGTAACAGCCATAACAGCAGCAATGGCACTCACAGGGTCAGCACAGCCAGCCAAGGGCGAGTAGGTACTGGCGGAGAGAGGCGAAGCCCTCCTCCACAGTTCCTTGCGCTCACAGAGTAGCAGGGTAACCAACACTCACAGGGTAACAGGATAATCAGCACTCACAGGGTAACAGGGTAACCAGCACCTTATGGGGTAACAGGGTAACCGGCACTCACAGGGTTACCAAGGAACCAGCACTCACAGGGTTAACAGGGTAACCAGTATTTATAGGGTGAGCACAACCAAGGACGACCAGGTAAGGTACTGTACTGGGGGAGGGGGGCAACGCCTTGTTCTACTCACTGCCTTGCGAATCGAAAACAATGTGCTGCCGCATGTGTATACTTGTGGGTCGTTGACTCAGTAACAACAGGGTAACAGGGTAACCAGCACTCACGGGGTCAGCACAGCCGAGGGCCAGCAGGTACTGGCGGAGGGCGGCAAAGCCCTCCTCCACACTGCCACAGCAGATGCCGAGCAGCGGGCGGGCGGTTTCGTCTCGTAGCGCGGCCTCGGCAGCTAGCAGCAGAGAGGCCTTGAGGGCGGCAACGCCCCCTGGGGTTGCCAGGGAGACCTACGGAGGGAGGGAAAGTAACAAGTGGATAGAGGGAGGTTAAGCAGGAGGAAGAAATGTCCTTCGAGAGCAGCAGAGAGCAGCAAAGAGCAGCAGAGAGCAGCAGAGAGCAGCAGAGAGGCCTTGAGGGCGACCTGGATTGGAAGGGGGAGCAGGGGGGGTGGATAGGTGGGGAAGAGAAGCAGGGGTGCGGATAGGGGAGGAAGGGAAGCAGGGGTGCGGATAGGGGAGGAAGGGAAGCAGGGGTGAACACTGTACTTTCAGAGGCTTGACAGCAGAGGCTTGAGGCTCAAGGGCCGCAATGCACCCTTGTTTTGCCGGGGAGAATTAGGTAGGGAGGGAGGGAAGCAGGAGGGTGGGTAGAGAGGGAAGGGAAGGAGGGGGGGGGCAATGTTGTTCGTCGAAAGTCTTGAGAGCAGCGGAGGAAAGGAATCTAGGGCCGCAATGCACCCTGGGGTTGCCAGAGAGACCTGGATAGGGGGGGGGGAGAAGGGGGATGAGCGTGAATATGGATAGAACGGAAGCGGAGGGGTGGTTGGCAAGAAGGCTTGAGAGCAGCATTGAGGCCTTACGGGCGGAAATGCCCCCTGGGGTTGCCAGGGAAACCTGGATAGGGAGGTAAGGGAAGAAGTGGGGCGGGGTGAATTTTGAGTCGACTAAAAAAAAACCTGGATAGGGAGGTAAGGGAAGAAGTGGGGCGGGTGGGGAGGGGATGTGACTCGAAAGCCTTGGGAGCAGAAAACAAGGCTCGCGGGCGGCAACGCCCCCTGGGGTTGCCAGGAACATTTGGTTGGGAAGTGAAGGCAAGCAGGGGTTGGAGGGGGGGTGGATAAGGAGGCCTCTGAGAGCCCTGAGGCTGAGGGTGATGTGTGAACGCAGGGCAGAGAGAAGGCTGGCGCGCCTACCTGCGGTTCGTCCTGCACGTTTGAACCTACCTGCGGTTCGTCCCGCACGTTTGAACCTACCTGCGGTTCGTCCCGCACGTTTGAACCTACCTGCGGTTCGCCGCGCACGTCGCGTCGGTTAAAGTCGTCCAGAATCTCCCACGCCGCCGCCTCCACCGCCGCAGCATCCGCTTCAGCCACATCCGCAGAAGCTGCGGCTCCGTCGGCTGCTGCCGCCGCAATCAAACGCTTTGATCCTCTCCGTTTTTCGCGGACGAGACTAAACGCTACTAAACTACCGGTCGGCTTTCGCGACGTCTCGTATACGCGCGCTTTATTCGTGCAAATATAAGCCGATTTATAACTATTACTTATGCGAGAGACGCACGCGACGCCGACCGCCGTGGCGTATGTTGGAGCCGCAAGAGCGGCGCGACTTGTCATGGCGCCGCCGGATGCGGCTGCGCCGCCTATTTGACGGTTTCGGACGGACGGCGACGATGCGACCGCCGGCGAACGGGACTGCGTCAAGCCGGCGACGGCATTGTTGACGGACGAAGGGAGTGCTGTCGCGTGCATGGCTGGTGCAAGTTTTGCTGCTTCTTAGCTTGATTGTCGGCCTTGAGAATATCGCGCTGCCAGGCTGAGCGCTGGTTTGCGGCCTTGACACGGAGGGGTGACACGGGATTGAAACAAACAAAACTCGGAAGTGTGCGGGGTAGCCTGGTAGGGTTCACCCGTCCCATATTTCGATTAGAGGCCTGAAATTCTGAAACCGTCATATTGTTGGCTCAAGCGACCCCGAGTTGCTACCAGCAGTCGGAATATTGATACACGCTTCAACCACCGCCAAACCACGATTCGCACTTTGCGTGACGAAACCTCGCATCTTCCGCCTTTGAACACCCTGTAGATTTGGGTTCATGTGTCGAACAAAACCGCAACCCGAGTGCGTGTAATTTTAGGGTTTGCTTCTCGGATTCTTGTATCCGCCTTGTGCGCAAGTCAGCATCGTTCATTACCATACTCACTGCTGTTTCGGTGACGCAAACTTCGCTGCGACGCGCATTTTCTGCGACTCTTCCCTGCGACGCACGTTTCATCGCGACGCGTATTTCTGCGATCCCGTCGTGCGACACGATGCCGGTGCAGCAGAAGCGGCAGTTTCGGAAGCGGAAAGCGCTCGAGGAGGAGGACGGGGATGGCGGAGGGGAGCCCGAGGAGCAGAAGGACGTACGGTACGCGCTAGACCATCTTTCTTCGGTCGTTAGGGTTAACCGCACATAGGTTTGGCCGCACTAGAGTTGACTGAAGCGCTCGAGGAGGAGGAGGGGGATGGCGGAGGGGAGCCCGAGGAGCAGAAGGACGTACGGTACGCTAGACCGTCTCTCGTTCGTCGTTACGCTTAACCGCACGCAGGTTTAGCAGCACTTACATTGACCGTAGCACTGGTAGCAGCGAGAGGAGGGGGGTGGAGGAGGGGTGCACGAGGAGAAGAAGGACGTACGGTAGCGCTATATCGTCTTTCGTCCCTCATTACAGTTGTTCGTATCTAGGTTCGCCAGTGCTTACATTGACCATAGCACTGGTAGCAGCGAGGGGCGGGGGATGGCGCAGGGTTGTCCGAGGCGCAGAAGGACATCTGGTACGCGTTAGACCGTCTTTCGTGCGTTGTTACGCTTAACTGCATGTAGGTTTCGCAGCACTTACATTGACCGTAGCAGTGGTAGCAGCGAGAGGACGGGGATGGCGGAGGGGAGCCCGAGGAGCAGAAAGTCGTACGGTACGCGCTTGACTCAATTTCGTCTGTCCTTAATTTCGAGCGCACATAGGTTTGGCTGTACGTAGGTTTGGCCGCAGTTGAATTGACCGTAGCACTGGTAGCAGCGAGAGGAGGGGTATGGCGGGCGGAGGGGAGCCCGAGGAGCTGAGAGACGTCCGGTACGCGCTAGAATGAATTACCATCGCACCTAGTTATAATCTTATCTAGCTTTGGCCGTACTTCGGTTTGGCCGTACCTAGGGTTGACCGCGTCTAAGTTTGACCGTGCCTAGGTTCGGTCTTACCTAATATTTTAACAAACCTAGGTTATGCCGTCGTCCGATGTAACGTGTACTGCACCGTACCGAGGAAATGGCGGGGGATGGCGGTGGATAGCGGGGGGTGGCGGGAAATGGCGCAGGATAGGGGGCGATGACGGGGGAGGTTCCGTGGAACAGATGGATATTCGACCTGCTAGGTTCCTTCAGATCCCGCCATATCGTGCCCTTCAGAAATATTCCACCGTATGCAATCAAACCTACTAGATTTAACTTTTGAACATAACGTGTGCATACACGGGTACCACAGCGAATAGTCGATGTTTAACCTAGGCTCGGCCTTCCGCCGTCAGGTTCAGCAATACCATACAGTATGGATCGGTTATAATGAGTTTCTCCGAGCGTTCTCGCTCCCCAAACCGTCACGCCGGCTTCGCTTCAGATGAATGCGCTTACCCCAGCAGCAGCGGCGCATGTGGGATAGCCGTAGATGGCACGTTAACAGTGTGCTGTGCCTTCTCATAACACCCCCTATCGCTCCCAACCGCTCTCTGTCTCCAGGTTCACCCTAGAAATGGAGCAACAGCGAGTGTGGCTGAACGGACAGCCTCATATGCACACCCACCCTGTTTGCTTTTGAACGGAATAACCTTTAATCAAACCCCTTTTTCCATTCCCCTCTCCCCTCCCCCTTCCCCCGTCCCCCTTCCCCCTTCCCCCCTCCCCCGTCCCCCGTCCTCTCCCTGCACGTATTCTCCAGCTCCGCTGCAGTCCGCTTGCAGCATTCCATTTTCATCCCCCTCTCCTCCCTTCTCCCCTCTCCCCCACCCACAATCCTGCAGCACCGCGCCGCCCTAGAGGAAGTGCGCCTGCAGCAGCAGCACGTGCACCTCAACCCCGCCATCCCCGCGCCTCTCCCCACCACCCCCCGGATCTTCCCCCTTGCAGCTCCGCGCTAGAGGAAGTCCGCCTGCTGCAGCAGCAGCGCGTGCGCCTCAACCTCGCCGCTCCTTCCTCTCTCCCTCTTCCCCCTCTCCCTCCCGCTTCCACGATCTCCTCCCCCCCCCCTCCCCCCCCCAGCTCCACTCTAGAGGAGGTGCGTCTTTTACAGCAGCAGCGCATGCGCCTCAAGGGGATTGCAGCAGACGGGGCGCTCACAGATGGGCCACTGGTCCTCCCCCTCCCCCTTCCCCCCGTCCATCCCCTCCCATCCCATCCCCGTGCAAACTCCCCCCCAGGTCCGCGCTAGAGGAAGTGCGTCTGCTGCAGCAGCAGCGCGTGCGTCTCAAGGGGATAGCAGCAGACGGGGTGCTCAGTGTGTCCCTGCAAACACCCCCTTACCGCTCCCAACCCCTCTCCATCTCCCCAGGTCCGCGCTAGAGGAAGTGCGTCTGCTGCAGCAGCAGCGTGTGCGTCTCAAGGGAATAGCAGCAGATGGGGCGCTTATCCTCCCCCCTCCCCCCATCCCATCCCATCCCATTCCCAACTCCCAGGTCCGCCCTAGAGGAAGTGCGTCTTTTACAGCAGCAGCACGTGCGCCTCAAGGGGATTGCAGCAGACAGGGTTGCTCACAGGCGCGGAAGGGGCGGAGGGGAAGAGGGGGGAGGGAGGCGCGGGTCCTCACCGTCCCCTTGCCCCCATCCATCCCATCCCATCCCCTTTTCTTCCCCCCTGCAGCTCCACCCTAGAGGAAGTGCGCCTGCTGCAGCAGCAGCGCGTGCGCCTCAAGGGGATTACAGCAGACGGGGCGCTCCGTTTGTCCCTGCAAACACCCCCTTACCGCTCCCAACCCCTCTCCATCTCCCCAGGTCCGCCCTTGAGGAAGTGCGCCTGCTGCAGCAGCAGCGCGTGCGCCTTAAGGGGATAGCAGCTGACGGGGCGCTCACAGGCGCGGAAGGGGCGGAGGGGAAGGGAGGGGGCGCGGGGGGGCAGGGGGAGGCGGGGGAAGAAGGGGAAGGGGGCGAGGAGCTGGTTCTACAGGATACGTTCGCGCAGGAAACGGCGATTACTGTAGAAGATCCTAACATGTACGTTACTGTAACGAGATGGGAGTGTATCGGGGGAGGAAGGGGAAGGGGGCGAAGAGCTGATTCTACAGGACACGTTTGCGCAGGAGACTGCGATCACTGTAGAGGATCCGAACATGTACGTGACTATAACGAGATGGAAGTGTTATGTTGAGGAAAAAAAAAAAAAAAAAAGGCTATGTTTTCCACCTAGCGGCCAACGCATGTGTAAGGCCGCCACTGCCCCCCCAAGCGCAAGCACACAAGGCTTCCTTTCCGTGTTATTGTTGCATTGCATTGCAGCCCTCCCTCCCTGCCGAAGCACTTGTCCTCCGCTTGTCCGCCCCAAGATCAAGTACATTGAGGAGAGGAGCTTGAGGAGAGGAGCTTGACCTATGCTTAAAACAAACTGCAAACCTCCGATGTCTCACTCGCCAGCCACCTATGCTATGACCGCCCATACCATACAAACCCTCGTTCGTTTTTGCCCATGTTCTCGTTCCATTCTCCGCCCCTGGCTCTAGTACATTCACGAGGAGTTCAAAACACACTTCCATCCACCCTCTCATGTCTCACCTACCTCCCATGCTCTGAGTGGTCGCCCATACCCTCATTGCCCATGCCCCATTGCCCATGCCCTACCAAGTCTTTCCCCATTCCTCCCACGCCATAGTCGCCCAAGCTCTGACCCTCCCCTTTTACCGCCTTCATATACCAACCCAGGCTTAGGTACAGCCAAGCTCGGAGGGGTGCTGAGTTGAGAGCCCCATGCGGCATGCGCTCGCCCTCACCCCCCGTCCCGTCCCCTCCCTCCCCTCCCCCCCCCCCTCTTACCTGGTCCCCCAGGCTCAAGTACATAGAGGAGGAGCTGGCAAAGCGCCGAGGGGGAGCTGAGTTGACCCCCATGCCCTTTCCCTCCCCACCCTCTCCCCCCATTTCCCCCCCTCCCCCCCTTTCCCCCCGTCCGCCCCTTCCCCCTTGTTTCTCCAGGCTCAAGTACATAGAGGAGGAGCTGGCAAAGCGCCAAGGGGTTGCTTGCTTTGTCAGCCCTGCTGCCACATGCTGGGCATAACGAAGAGCCCGCCCCGTGCTGTGACTCATAGTACACTCGTGCCCTCCCTCCCACACCCTTGTCTTGTCTCCCCCCCTTCCTGGTCCCCTCTCCCCCTTCCCCCTTGTTTCCCCAGGCTCAAGTACATTGAGGAGGAGCTGGCGAAGCTCCGAGGGGGTGCTGAGTTGACCCCCATGCCTTTCCCCCACCCTCTCCCCCCCTTTCCCCCTCACCCCCCCCTTCCCCCCGCTTTCCCCCCTTTCCTACCTCCACCCTGGCCCCCAGGCTTAAGTACATCGAGGAGGAGTTGGCGGAGCGCCGAGGGGGTGCTGAGTTGAGCCTCATGTCTCATGCCCCATGCCCTGCCTTTCCCCCCCACCCGGTCCCCCAGGCTTAAGTACATCGAGGAAGAGCTGGCGAAGCGCCGAGGGGTTGTTGCGTTAATCTTGATGCCCTGACCCTCATGCCCCATGTCCCCCCTCCCCCTCTCCCCACTTCCTGGTTCCCTTTTCCCCCTCGCCTGCCCCCTGCCCCTGCCCCCCCCCCAGGCTTAAGTACATCGAGGAGGAGCTGGCGAAGCGCCGAGGGGGAGGGGCGGGAGCAGCTGGGGGCAGCAGAGGGGAGGTGGAGGGGGAGGATGAAGTGTTGCGGGCTGAAGACAAGTTGTACGAGATTCCACAGCACTTGCAGGTGATTATAGTGAATGATAATAGCTAGCAGGTGATTATAACAGAAAAGAGAGGGGAGAGGGTTGAGGACGGGTTGTGGGCTGAAGACAAGTTGTACGAGATTCCACAGCACTTGCAGGTGAATATAGTGAATGCTATTATCGAATGTTAAGGCAACGCGAGGGAGGGGGAGGGGGAGGAGGAGGGGTTGCGGGCCGAAGACAAGTTGTATGAAATTCCACAGCACTTGCAGGTGATTATAGCGAATGTGTGAAGCAGCAGATGCATGCAGGTGACTGTAACGAAGTTTTACTGTACCCCACCTGGTGGCGATTATGATGACTGTTTGTGTACTGCAGTCGATGGCGTTCCTCACTTCTTTCAACGGCAGCAGGTGACTATGACACACAAGACAAGCATTGTGCGTCGTACGCATATTGGATCGGAAATGCGCCTACATAAACGGGCAGGTTCATTTAGCAGCAGTGTGCCTTGCTATTGCCTTTGCTCCCCTCATAGTCCTCCTTCCTTCCCGAGATATCCCCTCACCTCTTCCCCCACTCTCCCATTGCCCTTCCTCCACGCTCGTGCGCAGGCGGAAAGGCTGGAGGGAGGAGGCAGCACAGCACAGCAAGGAGCGCCAGCAGCATGTGTTGCCGCGACTTTTCTTCCTCCCCTGTTCTTCCTTCCATGGTACCTCCACCTCCTTCTCAATCTTTCCTCCAATTCTGTGTGCAGGTGGAGAAGCTGGAGGGGGGGGAGGGCGGCACGGCACCGCAAGGGCCGCCAGCAGCATGTGTTGCCGCGACTTTACTTCACCTCCTTCTCAATCTTTCCTCCAATGCTGTGTGCAGGTGGAGAAGCTGGAAGGGGAGGAGGGCGGCACAGCGTGGACGACGGGCATTGCGGAAGTGCAGCTGCCCATTGAGTGAGTTGGGAGGAGAGTTGAGATGAGAGATGCGTTGGGATATGTGCATTGGGATGGAAAGAAAGTGATGAGGTGAGTTGGGACTCCCAAGTTGACTTTTGAGTCGACTCAAAAATCAAAAGTCGACTTTTGAGTCGACTCAAAAGTTGGGAGGAGAGTTGAGATGAGAGATGCGTTGGGATATGTGCATTGGGATGGAAAGAAAGTGATGAGGTGAGTTGGGACTCCCAGCTTGGGAGAGTACAGTGGCACAGCGGCACGGAACAGCATGTACGACGACGGGCATTGCGGAGGTGCAGCTGCCTATCGAGTGAGTTGAATGAGGGGAGTTGGGATGAATGATATGTTGGGAAATGCATTTGGAGTAAGGGGTGTGGTGTCATGAGAGTGAGTCGCACTCGAATCAATGGAGGAGGGCGGAACAGCTTGGACGAGGGGCATTGGGGGGGTGCAGTGCAGCTGCCCATAGAGTGAGTTGGGAGAAGGTATAGAGAAGGAAATAAGAAGATGCGTTGGGATGCACCCTCTCCTCCTCCTCCCCTTTATTCTTCCTTTCCTGCACCCTTTCCTTTACGAAGATGCGTTGGGTATAGAGAAGGAAATACGAAGATGCGTTGGACCACAGGGCAATCTCGGTTCCCCCCCCCCCACACACACACCCTCTCCTCCTCCTCCCCTTTATTCTCCCTTTCCTCACCCACCGCGCAGCTACAAGCTGGGCAACATCGAGGCCACAGAGGAGGCCAAACGCATGCTGCATCATCTCACTCTCTCCCCACCACCCTCTCTCCCTCCCCTTTGCTCTTTCTCCTCCAATTCACCGTCCCAGCTACAAGCTGGGCAACCTTGAGACCACAGAGGAGGCCAAGCGCATGCTGCATCATCTGACTCTCTCTCCCGCTTCACTTCCTCTTCTCCCCCCTCCTCCACCCCTTCTTCTCGCAGCTACAAGCTGGGCAACATCGAGGCCACAGAGGAGGCGAAGAGCATGCTGTATCATCTAACCACGACCCCCTCTCTCTCCTTTCTTCCCCCTCCCGTCTTCTCCTCTTTTCCTCGCTCTTCTCGCAGCTACAAGCAGGGCAACATTGAGGCCACAGAGGAGGCGAAGAGCATGCTGTATCATCTAACCACGACCCCCTCTCTCTCCTTTCTTCCCCCTCCCGTCTTCTCCTCTTTTCCTCGCTCTTCTCGCAGCTACAAGCAGGGCAACTCCTTTCCCTTTCCCCCTTTCCCTTTCCCCCTTTCCCTTTCCCCCTTTCCCTTTCCCCCTTTCCCTTTCCCCCTTTCCCTTTCCCCCATTCCCTTTCCCCCTTTCCCTTTCCCCCTTTCCTTTCCCCTTTCCCTTCCCCCTTTCCCTTTCCCCTTTCCCTTTCCCCCTTTCCCTTTCCCCCTTTCCCTTTCCCCCTTTCCCTTTCCCCCTTTCCCTTTCCCCCTTTCCCTTTCCCCTTTCCCTTTCCCCCTTTCCCTTTCCCCCTTTCCCTTTCCCCCTTTCCCTTTCCCCCTTTCCCTTTCCCCCTTTCCCTTTCCCCCTTTCCCCTTTCCCCCTTTCCTTTCCCCTTTCCCTTTCCCCCTTTCTTTCCCTTTCCCCCTTTCCCTTTCCCCCTTTCCCTTTCCCCCTTTCCCTTTCCCCCTTTCCCTTTCCCCCTTTCCCTTTCCCCCTTTCCCTTTCCCCCTTTCCCTTTCCCCCTTTCCCTTTCCCCCTTTCCCTTTCCCCCTTTCCCTTTCCCCCTTTCCCTTTCCCCCTTTCCCTTTCCCCCTTTCCCTTTCCCCCTTTCCCTTTCCCCCTTTCCCTTTCCCCCTTTCCCTTTCCCCTTTCCCTTTCCCTTCCCTTTCCCCTTTCCTTCCCCTTTCCCTTTCCCCCTTTCCCTTTCCCCCTTTCCCTTTCCCCCTTTCCCTTTCCCCCTTTCCCTTTCCCCCTTTCCCTTTCCCCCTTTCCCTTTCCCCCTTTCCCTTTCCCCCTTTCCCTTTCCCCCTTTCCCTTTCCCCCTTTCCCTTTCCCCCTTTCCCTTTCCCCCTTTCCCTTTCCCCCTTTCCCTTTCCCCCTTTCCCTTTCCCCCTTTCCCTTTCCCCCTTTCCCTTTCCCCCTTTCCCTTTCCCCCTTTCCCTTCCTGACCCCTCTCCCCTTCTCTCCTTTTTCCTCGCCCATCTTGCAGCTGCAAGCAGGGCAACATCGAGGCCACAGAAGAGGCCAAACGCATGCTGCATCATCTGACTCACTCCCCCATCCTCTCTCCGCTCTTCCCCCTCCCCTTTGCCTTTTCTCCTCCATTCCACTCTCCCAGCTACAAGCTGGGCAACATCGAGGCCACAGAAGAGGCCAAACGCATGCTGCAGGAGCATCTGACTCTGTCCCTTTCTGTTCTTCCCCTTCCCCTTCCTGCACCCCCTCCTTGTCCCCCCTTTATCCCATGCCCCCAGCTACAAGCTGGGCAACATTGAGGCCACAGAGGAGGCCAAGCGCATGATGCAGGAGAGAAGGCCGTGGATGAACCGCACGCGGTATGGCTTGTCCCTGTGGGGTGGGGAGGGGGCGTGTTGGGTTGGGTGTATGGTTTGGGATGTTGACTCGGTCAACTCACAAGCCACCAAAGCGCATGATGCAGGAGAGAAGGCCGTGGATGAACCACCCGCGGTATGGCTTGTTTCTTCCTTGCGGAGGGGGGATTGGAAACGGAATGGAATGGGGGCATGGGAGGAATGGAGATGGAGGAAGGGAGGAATAGGGTTTTTTTTTTTTTTTTTTTTGCTAGGTACCGTCTATTCCCGTCCTTTTACCCCGTTTCTCAAGCAAGGGGCGCTGTTGAAACACACATATCGATCTGCACGTTTGTTTGGTACCGCTTATTCCCATGCTTCCTCCCCATTTATCGATTGCTTAACAGGAAGTTCCTTATAAGTTGCCTCAAAAGTCACATTGTTTTTGGTACTGCCTATTCCCATCTGTCTGCGGATTCTCATCCTTCCTCAAGAGCCTTTCCGATTCCTTCACGCTGTTCCTTATATCTGCCTGTTTCTCCCGTTCTTTGTACCCGATTTTCTGTTCTCTGCCTCTTCTCTCGCCCTCCAGCCCTCCGTCCACAACGCTGCCTGCCAGCTACAGTGCAGACTTCCAACAGCGCGGCCGTGAATACGCGGAGAAGCTTAAAAGGGGTACGTGCCGTTTGAGTGCATTGCACTGCACTGCATATGCGTCATCTGCACCATCTGCACCATCTGCACCATCTGCACCATCTGCACCACCTGCACCATCTGCACCACCTGCACCACCTGCACCATCTGCACCATATGCATCATCCATGGCAAGCCATTTTTCCGTCTTGACTTCCATGCTCCAATCCCCTTCCACACCATGGCTTACCCTCTCCTACTTTCTCCAAACCACCACTAACCCCCCACCTCCCCACCACCCTCCACCACCCTCCACCGCTCACTCTAATCCAACCTCTGCTCTCAATCACACTCGTGCCGGTATTCATCTCCCGTTCATCACGTATCCCGTACGCCCCTCCCCCTCCCCTGACAGCAGACAGCTTATGAGTCACCTCAAAGTCTACAATTACAATCTTTCCCGCATCCTTCTCCTGTTCACCACGTATTCCGTACACCCCTCTCTCTCCCCTGATATCAGACAGCCTCAACTTGTTCAGGACCCGAGGGGGTTTGGCTGAATGGTGGTGGAAGGAGAGAGGGGGTTGGCAAACAGGAATAGTGTTTTTTTTTTTTCCATTATCGTTCAAACTGTAACCCATTCATTCCGTGTCGCCTCCTCTTGCTCCCTCCGCTTGCCCCCTTTTTTTCCAGACAACCCCGACATGTTCCGAGACTCAAGAGGAGGAGGCCGTGGGGGCGGGGGAAGAATTGGAGGGGGGGAAGGTTTTCCAACTAACAACTTGCAATTCCCATGTGTCCCCTCCCCCCATCCCCCCCATCCCTCCCCTTGTCGCTTCCATTCCAGACAACCCCGACATGTTCCGAGACTCGAGAGGGGGAGGCCGTGGGGGCAGGGGAGGCGGAGGGGGGAGGGGAGGGGGAGGGGGGTACGGTGGGGGGGATTCGTATCAGCAGGGAGATGGGAGCGGAGGGGGGTACGGGGGTGGGGGTGGGTATGGGGGTGGGGGTGGGTATGGGGGTGGAGGCGGTGGGGGGAGAGGGGGAGGGGAGAGGCGACAGGCAGCAACGGATGATCTTATATTGGAGCGGTTTAGGAAGCGGGAGAGAAACCGAGTCATGCGCCGGTAGTGCTGCTTGTGATGCTGGTGGTGCGAGGGTGGAAAGATGGGGTGGGTGCGATGTTGATGGGGTCAGGGGTGGCAAGCAGCAACGGATGAGCTCATTCTGGAGCGGTTCAGGAAGCGGGAGCGGAACCGAGTCATGCGCCGGTAGATTTCCTTTGCTCCTGCTACTGCTACTGCCATTGCTGCCAGTGCTGCCAGTGTTGCCAGTGGTGCTAGGGTGGACCGGTGGTGTAGGTGCACTGGTGGTCGGGATAGGAGCAGCAGGCAGCATCGGATGATTTCATTTTGGCGAGGTTCAGGAAGCGCGAGAGAAACCGAGTAATGCGCCGACAGTGCTGCTGGTGCTGCTTGTGCTGTTGGTGCTGCTTGTGCTGTTGGTGGTGCCAGGGTGGAGAGGGGGGTTAGGTTCAGTGGTGGTTTAGACAGGGGCGGCAGGCAGCAACGGATGATCTTATATTGGAGAGGTGCAGGAAGCGGGAGAGGAGCCGAGTTATGCGCCGGTAGTGCTGCTGGTGATGCTGGTGCTACTGGTGGTGCTAAGGTGGAGAGGTGGGGTGAGTACAGTGGTGGTGGAGGCAGGGGCGGCAAGCAGCAATGGATGACCTTATTCTGGAGCAGTTCAGGAAGTGGGAGAGAAACCGAGTCATGCGCCGGTAGTGCTGCTTGTGCTGCTGGTGCTTCAAGGGGTAGGGTGGTGGGGAGGGTGGGTGCGTTGGTGTGGTGGTTGAGAGGGGAGCAGCAGGCAGCAATGGATGATCTTGTGTTGGGGAGGTTCAGGAAGCGGGAGAGAAGCTGAGTCATGCGCCGGTAGCATGTGCTTGCTGGCCCTTCTGCTGCTGCTGCTGCTGTCAGTAATACCAGTGCTTCCGGTGCTGCCAGCGCTTTCAGTGCTGCCGGTGCTGCTGGTGCTACCAGCGAAATGACCCGGTTTGTGACCCAATCGCAGCACAGTTTTAAGACGTCTCCGAAAAGGAACCCCTTCATTCATGCCGCACAGCACAACGCAATGCGGCTGCCTGCCCTGTTTCTCTTCCATCAATGATGCCTAGGCCTCTTGTCTACTTGTGAAGCAGCTTGTGCCAGTTTGACGTGTGAGTTCCACTGCAGGGGTTGCTTGCTTGCCGCGCAGTGCACTGTTTGGCAGCAGTACTGAGCACTGATGGGTATTCTGTATGTACATATTCTGTGGTGACTACAGTGACTGCGTAGTCCCTCACTCAACCTAACAACCCCAAGTCTCAAGCCAATCACTCGTGCCTTGCTTATCCCCAGTCCCACACACCGAAACCCAAGTGTAGTTGTGTGTATCCCAAGTGTATTGGTGTGTCTCAAGAAATTCTGCGAAAGAAAGCAAATGTCCCTCCCTACGCTGCTTGACAATTCGACACCACACTGTGCTCAATTCCAATCTGGGTCACCTACGATACGACAAACCGTGCAGCAGTATGCGAATATAAAATATCAGAGCTACCGTAGCAGTGTTGTTGTGATCCAATACACTTATTTTGACAATGAATAACGCATATCTGCCAGCAACCCCACTAGCCTACCTTTGGTTGGCGTTTTGTTGTTGCCTTTTACAGACAAAGGAAATGGACTACAGTAATATAATATCTACTTCAAACGATTGGCAAAAATAGTAGAAGCTAAAAACCAAAAGAAATCCTCTGGAGAAGTGAGGTATCGATCACCATACCTCTCGCATGCTAAGCGAGCGCTCTACCATCTGAGCTATATCCCCATGCAGGACGCTTGGTCAAACAAATTTATGACCTTTTTTACAGATGAAGGTTGCTTGTCTGTGCATCGATTGGTGGAGGGGTTACCTGCGCCTCCAAATTTCGAGATTCCGGGTCATGCATCGCCTGAGACACCTGCGCTTCGAAATGTGGATGGAATCCGAATTGAAATTCCAAATTGTTAGACAGAGGCCGCGCCGCACTGGAATGTGCGTCACTCAACCAATCCCCATTCAGGAACTGCAATGCGTGCAAGTGCATGTGCTCATATAAAATTGTTTCCTCTAATTATATCAGGTATCGTGAGTTGAGCAATTCAGTGCTCATTTCTTCCCCGCCGATTATTCAAATCAGAACTCCTCGCAGTTTCCCTCTCTCGCACCCACAGTTGGTCAGAATGGCTCGACCTGCGCTTTTAGCGCTCTCCCTCGCGCTTCTCCTCGCTGTCGCGAGTGCTGGAAGTCCCCTCACGAGCTCCTCCGCGAACGCGAAGCCTGATCCAAGCGGCAAGAAGGACGACGGTCTCATGACCGACATTCCCAAGGACATCGCGAAGCAGGTTGCGGCAGGTACCGCGGCAGGTGTCACATACGTGGATACCGCGCAGGATACGTTTTTCATGGCGGATGTGAAGAAGGCCGGATGGAACGCGCAGAAATGCCCGCCGGGCCTAAACAAGGAGCTTGCGGGCGCATGCACTGCGAAGAATTGCTCCAAGGGCGGGATTGCAGCGAAGTGGAAAACCTCTTACCTGCAGAAAAACAAGCTCGGATTCGAGTTGTATGTCCCGGGTAACCCGCTGACTCTTCTCAAGGCGAATCCCGCGTCGTGCTGCAACACCTGCGCCGCGATGCCGCTTTGCACCTACTGGCAGTACATCCCCGATATAACCATCGACGGGAAGAAGGGCAAAGGCGCGTGCTATCTGATTCACGATCAGATCGACTTCTCCTGCGGAGAAATGACCGCGCAGTACAACACGGAAACGAAGCCTGTCCACCTGCAAGTGCGCATCGGCGGCGAGTGCAACCCGAGCCCGAAAATCCTCAACGACCCGCATCTGGTCGGCGCGCGCGGCACGCATTTCGACTTCAACGGCCGGCCCGACAAGGCGTTTTGCCTGCTGACCGACCGAAACCTGCACGTGAACATGCTGCTGCGTGGGTATTATGACGAGAGGACGGATAACTCCGCGGCCGCCGTGGTTGACGGGAAGGCGGTGCACACGTGGATCAAGGAGCTCGGCATTGTTTGGACTGCTGCGGGTGTGGATCATAAGTTCCGACTCGCGGCGCGCAGCGGCAAGCAGCAGGAGCGCGGCGATGGTTTCGTGAAGGAAATCGAGATTGACGGCGCCGAACTTCCGCGCATGCAGGTCGGCGACAAGGTTACTAGCGCCGGCGGTCTGACACTCGAATTCCGCGGCTTGGAGAAGGAGGGACCGTTCGATGTGGATTACTATTTGCTCTCGATCGACGGGTTAATTACCCTTGACCTTCGCCTTCGTGTCGCGCATCCGAAATTGCAGACTCCAACCGAAGCCGAGGCGCACATCAACGTCGGGATTGCCGAGCTCGAGCACACGGAGGAGATTCACGGCGTGCTCGGGCAGACGTACCGCGCGGATCACGCCGCGCGCGCCGCGGATTTCCAGCGCCTCGTTGCGAGCATGCACCGTCCGATCTCCGCCGATGGCGCGGAGGGAGAGGGGTTTCTGGATGGAACTCCCCGGTCGTACGAGGCGAGTGATGTGCTTGCTGTGGATTGCGCTTATACCGCGTATGGCCGCGCCAGGAAGGTGATGCCCGTGCAGGAATTCCCGTAAAAGAGCTGACATAGCATACTGTATTGTACGGTGGGCTGGTTTCTTCAGTAGGGATGGTATTTTCTGTCGACTGTTCTGTATGGTGGGCTGGGGCTGTTGTTTTCACTGTTTGTGTACTTTTTTATTTCCTTCTCTCTTCTTTTTTCAGTGGGCTGTGCTTTTCAGTGGGCTGTGTTGCTGAGTGGGCTGTTTTCTTCAGTGAGACGTTTTTTGTTGTTTCTCAGTGGGCTGTTTTCTTGTTTCTCAGTGGGCTGTTTTCTTGTTTCTCAGTGGGCTGTTTTTCTTGTTTCTCAGTGGGCTGTTTTTCTTGTTTCTCAGTGGGCTGTTTTTCTTGCTTCTGAGTGGGCTGCTTTTCTATTTTCAGTGGGCTGGCCAATGTGTGTTCTGGTTTCTTATGATAGGCCAAGTTATCATTTGTCTGTCATCGTGACTCTTATTTGAAGTCACCTTATTTTGGTAAATGTTTTCAAACACAAAAACGTGCACCTAGGTCACAAAAATCGTGGTCACAACCAAAAACTGCCAGAGTACAGCTTGTCTCCAAGCCAATCCCATTTGCTAATGAATCCACAGTCCTGACAAGAGTCGTGACTGGGAGCAGGCGTGTCATCTTGCCAGTGTTTGCAATTGAAGTCGCAATCAGGAATATACAGTACTGTACATGTCGTCCTTCATCCTTGAAACAGAGCACCCTATTCAGTGCCTCTCTTACAGCCTACAACAGCCGTGCCTCTGGAGAATCTCCCAACCCAATGCTCCTGCCGCCGGAACTGCAGTAACAATGGAAACAGTTGGCAGCACCGCAGTCGAAACTGCTGCATTCACTCCTTTAAAGCCCGTAGGCAAAATAGTGACCCCCCCCTTCTAGTTGGGTCCACTAGAAAAGGTGCTGAAAAGTTTGAGGTGTCATGTTTCTTCTTTCCACCACCCAAGCACCAGTTTTGAACCGAGCTGGAAATTTTCGAAATTGCTTCAAAATTGTTTGGTGGCAGAAACTTGTCGCAAGCATGTACAAGCTTGTCGCAGAATTGCGACGTCCAGTTTCCAGAGGAGCTGAAAATTATTGCGCAACACCTCCCTCCGAGACAAATAGAAGTGCTCTAATGCACACACATGCACACAGTCAATATGAGAGTGGCAGAGCATGAGGGCTCTGCAAGATACGAATGAGGCCACAAGGGTGAGAGTGATGTGAGTGTACGAATGTCGCTTCGAGCCTCAGCCTGAGAGTGACGCGGAAAAGGTGATGGAAAGAAAACACGAACAAATAAACAACAACATAATACGAAATGGGACACGATGACGCGATAGCAGAGGGAGAACGTGGGGGCAGCGGGAGGGGAGGGGAGTTATCGAGGACGACGGAGACGAGAGGACAGAGTGCCAGGGTGATGGGGAGGGAGGGAAATTGCGACGGCGAAGGGATGGGAAGGGAGATAGTGAGGCAGAGGGGATGCGGGGAGGGCTACGACGTGGGTGATGCGAAGGGAGAGAGGAAGGGCGATGGGAGGGCAATTTGAGGCGAGCGCGACGGCGACGAGGTGGGAGATGAGGGAAGGAGAGAGGAAGGGTGACGAGAGGGCGATTGAACGAGAGCGGCGACAATGAGGTGGCTCATGGAAGAGGATAGAAATATGGCGCTTCAAGGCGGCGCGCACGATGAAGTTGGTGATGCGAGGAGATGCGAGAGAGAGGGCAACGAGGTAGGTAAAGGGGAGGGAGAGAGGAGGGGCGATGGTAGGACGGTTCAGGGCGAACGCGAGGGCGACGGGATGGGCGACGGTAGGGGAAGATTGGTGGGTGACGCTGTGGTGACGGGAAGGACGATGTGCGGGAGGATTGTTAGAGAGGGTGTGAGGTTAATACAGGGGTAAGAGCGAGCAGCAATGAGGGTGCCGCGAATGGCGACCTAGAAAGCGAGGGCATATGTAACGGGGGAAGTGACGCGGCCCGGGAAAAGCCAGATGGGCCGACGATCACGGGGGTTGTCGATTGCGCGCGACGGGAAAAAATACAATACGCTACTGCGACTCGTGTTACCTGTGCACCCGAGCGAGTGTCGATACGTAACACACTCGACCTAAGTAAAAAAATGCGTGCCTAGGACACAAAGGACTAGGATAACAGCTATTTTAGGCAAAAAACCAGTGACTACGGGAGTAAGAAACGGAGTAGTGAACCCAGTTCCAGCTTGAAAGCACGGTGGGCCTGGCGACCAGAACCAACACTTTGCAACGGTCGTGAGGCTGCAACACGTAGACATGCGACGGCTGACGTGAGCGCCAAAATCCATTTGGCGGGAGGCAAAAAGTTGTTCAGTTTGGCGATAACCAATCACATAAGTTCATCATTTGTTTGAAACAGTGCTCAACTGGCCCGATCTCTAGCAGTTTCGAGAAACTCGTCGCAGCAATCTTTCAAGCTGGGTCGGGGTTCACTATTTTATATTTCGGTTTTAATACCTTCTCAGACATGACATTGTTACTGCTGCTTTTTTCGTTTTAAGCAAAACCTTCGGTAACAGAAGCAAGGGGGGGTGGGAAAGAGGGGACACAGGGAAGAGGGAAGAGAGGGAAGGGAGGGAAGAGGGGAGACAGGAAGGTGGGAGAGAGAGAAAGGAAGGAGGTTGGACGAGGGAGGAGAGGGCAGGTGGAAAATCCTGGACAGGGAAGTGGAAACAGAGGGGAGGGAGGGTATGCAGAGGGGTGACGGAGTACATGCATGGAGGAAACTGAGGGCACGTAGGGGAAACTGGGGGGAAGAATGGGGGAAAATGAGGGGAAGCAGGGGGGAAACAAAGAGCAAGCAGAGGGGAAACTGGGGGTAAGTAGAGGGGGTAATGAGGCCAACGAGGGGGGAAATGAGGGGACGCGGGGGACATGAGGAGAAGCTGGGGGGGGAAATGAGCGGAAGCAGAGGGGGGAATGAGGGGAAGCAGGGGGGGAGTGAGAAAAAGCAGGAAGGAAAACGAGGGGAAGCTTGGGGAGGAAATGAGGGGAAGAACGGAAGGGAATGAGGGGAAGCAGGAAAGAAAACGAGGGGAAGCAGAGGGGCAAATGAGAGGAATCAGGGGGGGGAAACGAGAGGAATCAGGGGGGGGAAACGAAGGGACGCAAGGTTGGAAATTGAGGGGCAGCAGGGGGGAAAACAAGGGAAGAACGGGAGGAAAATGAGAGGAAGCAGGGGGGGGAGGGGGGGTGGGGAGGGATGTATATTTTTTTTTTGTCATTGTATCATACATTGATAAGGCTAATGTATACAACAATAGCAGTCGTAACTGAGCTTGAGGGCAGGCGCCATGCACTCCCCAAACAGTAGGGCGGTAGGAAAGCCCTCCTTGGGTGCAGAGGAGGGGGGGAAGGTTAGGAAGCAGGGGGGGAAATGAGAGGAAGAAAGGGGGGGAATTGAGAGGAAGCAGGGGGGGATCGATTGGAAGCAGGGGGGGGGAATGAGGGGAAGGAAAGGGGGGGGATGAGGGGAAGCAGGGGGGGAATGAGAGGAAGCAGGGGGGAAAACTAGGGGAAACAGGGGGTGTGGGGGGAGTAAGGGGGGAAACGGGGGGAAGCAGGGGGGGAAATGAGGGGACGAAGTGGGGAAAATGAGCGGATGCTGGGGGGAAAATGATAGGAACCAAGGGGGGGAAATGATAGGAAGCAGGGGGGAAAACGAAGCGAACCAGAGGGGGGAAATGAGGGGAAGCAGCCTTTGGACGGATGGGCAACAAAAGGAAGGAGAGGGGATGTGGGGAAGAGTTCTTTCAGATTTCGCTCGCAGCCTTGGAGGGATGGGGAAGGTAACAAGAGGGAACGGAAGGGCAGAGAAGGGAGGGCAAGGGATGGGCAGGTGAAAGAAGGGCAGGGGAAGTGGAGGCACGGGGAGGGGCAGCGCGACAGGGTGCTGGCGCGTTGAGGGGAGGGGAGCGGAGGCGCGTAGAGAGGAGGCGCGACAAGGGGAGGCGGGCGACGCGGAGGCGCGACGAGAGGAGGGGCGGAGCGACGAAATTAGGGAAAAACGACGAGGCGAGGGGAAGCGCGTCGATGGAACAGGAGGCGCGACGAGGGGCGGCGCGACGTGTCGGCCCGACGACGGGAGGCGAACATCGCGAAGGGATGCGCGCCGAAAGGAGGGGTGGCGCGACGATGGGAGGAAAGGCGCGACAAGGGGCGCGACAAGGAGAGGCGAGACAAGGAGAGCGAACAAGGAAGCGCAACGAGGGGAGGGGAAGCATGATGGGGGGAGGGGAGGCGGCTTGAGGCACTCAGACTTGAGGCACTCAGACTTGAGGCACTCAGACTTGAGGCACTCAGAGATGCGTGGGCAAGCGTGGTGAGGCGTCATCACTCACCCTAACGACAACAACGACTAGTTTGCGTAAGCACTTGTAAAGTTCCCTAATCCTTGGGATGATCGATCAAAATAGCTGCTTTTCGCAATATGAATGTGCTAGACTAACACAACCCCGGCATGAGCAGATCCACAATTCTTGTTTGAGTTCACATCACACATAGGAAAATCGTTTGCACATAGGAAAACAGGGCATTTAGGGCGAACCAAATTCACGGTTCAGAAAGGTTCTGTAAGGTGTAGAGCAGGTTTTGCACTTCACCCTCACCGTGGTACAACATATTTGAACCGCAAAGAATTCGTAACGTACGTATACGAGCTGGAAACTCCCCTTATCTTCGAGGTACCAATCATAGACCGCGCTGACGTCAGTAGGCTTGATTATACACCCTATTCTCGATAATTTCACACCCTTTAAGTGTACACCCTGGGGTAATTACTCTCGGTTAAACGTTAAAGTTGGGTAGCAAGCAACGATTGTTGACTTTCGGAGGAGATCTCTCGCAACCTTCTCGCGAATGGAAGAAAAGAAACCAGAGTTCCAAGGGCAGCCATCCACCCCTACTACTCACTCGGAAAATTAAGTGCGAGACTCGATAACTACCCTCGTCAATCTTTGGGTGTCCGTCACATCGAGCCAGAAAACGTACAGGGTA